TGAAGTCATATTGGGAACTTACCAATCTGGCACATTCAGGAAGAGATTGTGAATTCCCCTTTTGGAGAATTAGAAGTGTTAAAGCATGCTTCACATGCTGGAAGTCTGGCACACTGCTTCCCCCCCCCCCCCCGAAGGAATCCTGTTGGAAATGCTAGAGGATTAAAGCACTATCTTATTTTAAAAATTATGGAATATTTCATAACTTTTCATCTCTTGGCTTATGCCAAGTAAGAGGGTGACGCTCTGTTGAAGAATTGAGGTGTGAGTGAAAAGTCCACAGTGAATCTTCCTCCCTTGGAAAAAGTCTGGACTCTTGGCATCTTTCCACACTGGAATATTGAGATCAGGAATTTGCGAATACAGAGTTGTGGGCACAAATACACAATTGCACTGCACCCACTGCCTAGCTCAGAGATTTCAAGCCTGAGCTTTATCTTGAAGGAGCAACTGGCGGATATGCGGTTGCACTGAGGATTGAACTCGGTGAGAGTGCTATATGATCCCTGGAAATACTGGCACTGAATTAACCTGGTACATTGTGGGGGGAGGGTAGGAGTAACAGGTGTTAGGAAGCAGGAGAAAGTGTGTGTGTTGAAAAGAGTTTGGACTGCTTGGAATGTAGCACACAGAACAAGCTGTGTATGTGTGTGTGCATGTGCAGCCATGAGTTTGCTGCACAATCCCAAGTGTTGAGTGAGTGGTGGGAATTTGTGGTGACTGGCATCTGCAGGGTTTGCAAACCCAGTGCTGCTGAGATGGCTTAGGTGCAGATGTTTGCAGAGCAGGTGGTGAGGTAGGCATAGAATCCTCCTGGGAGTGCGTAGCAGGATGTTTCGTGAGAATAGACAGTGGTGTGTGTGAAAGTGATTTTTGGAGCAGGTGGGGTGAGTAAGTGGGGGTGGGGGGGGGGGTGCTAGGACTGTGCAGAGCAGACAGTGGGGACGATGTGTGTAAATGAGTGGTAAAGGGACATTATGAAGGAGATGGGAGAAACAGTCTGGAGTAAAGTGAATAAGCTGTAGGAATGTTTTTCTTTGGTGGGGGGCGGGGGAAGAAAATAAATAATGAATTGTATAGGCTGTGTGGAAGTGTAATGGGCTCATGATGATGGGAACAGTGGGGATGGTGTGGGGGTGATGGTAACTTAGCCTCATTGCCAACAGTACACATGTGACTAACATGGACTGAGTTGGCAATTGTGGTCCAGCTTGAGTAATATGTTTTTGGCTGGTGAGCATTGTTTGGGAAGGTTGGGCATGGTGGCTAAATAGGTATTGGTGCTATGGAGGTTTAGAGTTGGGATGTGGTTGTGGTTTGGGTGAAAAAGAGCATGCATTTGATTTTAGCATCTTGAACGTCTCAATGTGTTAAACTGCTTCGCAGTAATTACTGTGAAATTACTGTCGCGACCGTAGGGAAACATGACAGCCATTTTGTGTATTGCAAGGTCCTGCAAAACATCTATGAAGTGCATCACCAATTTATCTGGAGCACAACACTGTACAACACAACAACATCCACATAAAGAACAGAAATTGGGACTATGGTTTAACATCTCATTTGAAGGCATCCACAGTAATGTGAGCACCAGAATGGTTGTGTGTGGTGGTGGGGGGAGGAGGGGGCATTCAGGCAGTGGTGGGGTGTGGGGTGCTAGGCGGGCACTAGAGTGGGTGTAGGTGTGTATGCAGTGGCAGAGATAACAAGGGGGTAAGGGGTAGTTTTCTCTCCAGCGGTGTTTGTGTCTGGCGCCTTTACTTCTTGCTCCACCTCTCTTCCCCTCACCCTCCGGCTGCCTTGTGTCTCGTACCACCTCGTGAGAGGGTGTGTGTTGGGGTGTGTGTGAGGATGTGTGTGTTGGGGTGAGGGGGTGTGTGTTGGGGTGAGGGGGTGTGTGTTGGGGTGAGGGGGTGTGTGTTGGGGTGAGGGGGTGTGTGTTGGGGTGAGGGGTGTGTGTTGGGGTGGGTGCTGGGGTGGGTGTGTGTGTTGGGGTGGGGGTGTGTGAGGGTGTGTGTGAGGTGTGTATGTTGGGGTAGGGGTTTGTGTGAGGGGGTGTGTGTTGGGGTGGGTGTGAGGGGGTGTGTGTTGGGGTGGGTGTGAGGGAGTGTGTGTTGGGGTGGGTGTGTGTGTGTTGGGGTGGGTGTGTGTGTGTTGGGGTGTGTGTGTGAGGGGTGTGTGTTGGGGTGGGGGTGTGTGTGTGAGGGTGTGTGTGTTGGGGTGTTGGGGTGAGGGGGGTGTGTGTTGGGGTGAGGGTGTGTGTGTGTTGGGGTGGGGATGTGTGAGGGTGTGTGTGAGGTGTGTATGTTGGGGTAGGGGTTTGTGTGAGGGAGTGTGTGTTGGGGTGGGTGTGAGGGGGTGTGTGTTGGGGTGGGTGTGAGGGAGTGTGTGTTGGGGTGTGTGTGTGTGTGTTGGGGTGTGTGTGTGAGGGGTGTGTGTTGGGGTGGGGGTGTGTGTTGGGGTGGGGGTGTGTGTGTGAGGGTGTGTGTGTTGGGGCGGG